GATTAACTGTTTAAAGCATTTTTTGGATTTTTTTTGTTCACCGAGCCCTTTGTTCTCGCTCACTCCCTGCCTGCAGCCCTGCCTGCAGCCCTGCCTGAGCCGCCAGCGGCCGCACTGGGGCTGCCAACTCCAGTTCACCCAAGGGCCGTCCCGTTCCCTGCGAGTAAGGACAGCAGCAGCAGCTTTCCAGGGCTAAAAATTCCTTGCCAAATGATGCCGTGACGCTGCCAGCATGCCCGTCAGCTGGTCTGCATCCCCCGCAAGCACAGTCTGATCTTTTTATACCGTGTTTTTATACGTGTAAGCCTGTGGGTAACTGAGAGTTGCCTTTTCCCCCGTCCCCAAGCAGAGGTGATTGCCCGGGGTGTGAGAGGCTCGGTTCGAGCCCTGCACTGAACGCGATGTCGCTGTATTACGAGCGCCCTGTGCGCTGGGGTGGCCTGATGCAGACTGAGAATTTGGCTCAGCACTAGAATGTCTGAAGGATCTTGAGTGTGTAAAATAGGTGAATGCTTCAAATTAAAGGTTTTCCAGCAGAATGGAGCCATCTGCAGCCCAGCTCCCTTGCTGACTGCCGCTGCGAGCACTGCTGTAAAACTTTCTCCCCTGGACCGTGTCCTGGGATGCCAAGGGAGCCCTGTGCTCGCTGGAGAGAGCCGGGTGCAGGCCCCCGGGGGGGCGTCAGGATGGGTTCCCTGCGGAATCCCATCCTCCTGTTCGCTCTGTCTCCCGTGGGAATCCCTGTCCTGCCCAGGGTCCCAGTGGAGGAATCCCGCTGACTTTCAGCAGCCTGACTCCAGCTCTCCCCCCACTCGCCTCCCTTGGGTTGCAGCCCTTAAAACAAAATCTGCGGTAGGCCCTTTGCTGTTTGTTCCCCAGGGCACCCCCGGCTCCTCCGCACGGGGCGTTTGTGGGATGTGGCCCTGCGTGTCCAGCTGGCAGAAGTCATGGAAGCCGCTCCGTACAGTCTGCTGCTCGGGTTGTGGTTCCCAGGGCCGTAACAGCTGCTCCCTCTGTGCTGCGGCCAAACGCCTCGTCTCAGGGCAGCCGCCTTCCCCCGGCCCCTTCCCTCATGCTGTCACCAACCACATGTTGGTGACAGTTTAACGCTAGTGGAAATTTAAATCTTAGTGGTCTAATCGCAGAATTACCACTAAATCTAACTGTTACAGAAGAAGAAAATATTGCTACAGAAGAAGTTTCAACAATAACATAGCTAACACTTGATTTATGTATATTGAGTAATTGCTCTCTGTTACCCCTGAAGTCTGTTTTGCCCAAGTTTTCTTTACCACCAGAGTTCTGTGACCGCAGGGTTCAGAGCCCTGGTCCCTTCAGGGTGCTCCTGCACCTCTCTCCCTTCCCGTGCCCGTGCTCTTCTGTAACTGCACCTTCACACTGCGGCTACAAATACCTTGTGCTACACAGAGCAGTTTTCGACTACTCGAAATTGTATCACACAATTATATGGCATTAAGCAAAAGTAAAACAAATTAAGCAATGACCATCTTGTCACGAGAAAACTGCTGGTACAGTTACGCACACTGGAAGGAGCAGACAGAGCCCGAGGAGGGTGGTAGTCTTGAACCGTGTGAACGTGGTTCTGCTGCGGGAGGACGCCGGTGGCTGCAAATTGGTGGTTTCACACACAGAATCGGGAGGTTTTGCGGAGAGGCGTCAGCATCATCCCTGTTTACGGGAAGTGGTGTGTCCCGCAACACCCACCCGGCACAGGGCAGCGCCCAGGGGTGCTGGGATGAAGCTGGCTGGGCAGCAGCTCCTGCTCCCTGTGTGTGCCCGGAGCAGGACAGGGACGGTCCTGCAGTGGCTGCCTGGATCTCAGTCCCCCTCGCACGCACCGCTAGCCATGGCTTACCGGGACGCCGCCACTAACCAGCCTGCCGGTTTCTTCTGGTGTTTCAGAGTCTCCTTCCACAGCCCCCTGGTGAAGGCCCAAGATGCAGGCAGACTCCCTTCTTCACAGTGGCTACTTCCACCCGGTGCTACGCTCCTGGCAGTGTACAGCAACCACCTTCGATGCCTCCAACCTCATCTACCCCATTTTTGTCACGTGAGTGAGCCCTGGCTCTCTGGGACCATGCTCAGGTTGACTGGTGCAGGTGCTCCACGAGCTACTCCCCAAAATATTCCCTGTGGACAAGCCTGGGGTAGAGGCTTCCTTCTCACACCGAGTCCTCACATCTCTGTCCCATCCACCTCCTGCAGTGACAGCCCTGATGCGGTGGAGCCGATCCCCAGCCTCCCTGGACAAGCCAGGTAAGAAACCAGCCCCTCCGAGCTGCGTGCCAGTCGCTGCCGTGCCTGAGCAGGGTTGACGTATGGCTGAGATGAGCGTGGGTCAGGGTGACGCTTCCAACCTCTGTGGTCCCTGCCGTGGGGATCCCCCAACATCAGGCAGGATGGGAGCATTCGTCCGCCATGGAAGTGGAGGGAATCATACTGGGGATGTTGGGAAAGTACCAGTACTGGCAGGAAAAGTGCCACGGTCTCACGATGCCCCACAGTACTCGCATGTCGTGTGGGCTGGGCACGCAGGGAATTTGGAAGTGAATGGGCTTTCCAGCAGCAGCTAGAAAACCTGTGCAAGGACACGGGCTCTGGTCCTGCATTAGATCTTGCTGGACTGGCAGATCCCGTCTTCATCTGCTGCTACGTTAGCAGGGCTGTAGTCACAGAGGCCCGAGGGGAGGTGGTCCTGTGGGGATGTGGGATGGATCTGCAACAGGGACACCAAGATAAGGGATCCAAGGGCAGGGCACGCTCATCCTTTCAGAGCAGAGAGTGTCCGTGCCCAGCAGATAACGCTCCTGTAGCCCCAGATAAGGTCCTGGATTGTTCTTCCCAGTGTTAAGGCAACACCTCCCCTGGACCTCCAGCTGCTGCTTGGTGTGGGTGCTGGTGGGTGCTGGATCGCTCACAGACAGCATCCAACTCACAGACCAGCATCCGAGTCCCACGGGGCAGAGCTGGGTGCCTGGCAGCCCCCTTCGCTTTGCTCTTCTCAGGTATGGAGTCAACAAGCTGGAGGGGATGCTGCGTCCCCTCGTCGAGGACGGTCTGAAGTGCGTGCTCATCTTCGGGGTGCCCAGCAAGGTCCACAAGGTCAGCGTG